CTCACTAAGTGTATACTTAGCGTGTGATGATTTTAATGCGTAAGAAAAAGGAAGAAAAATGAGTAAGGAGGTGAGCTTGGCATCAATCACCAAGAAAATATTTACAGCTAACAATGATGACATCCTACTGTGTTCTAAAAGTCTTGGCATGTATACAAGAATGAAATGTCTGCAATTTCTTAATATAGCTAGTATTAAATATAATTCATAGTATAAATTAATATTATGATATTAAACTATGCTTAAAAAATTATTTGGGTTTTAAATCAAACTGTTAGACAATCTTATTCATTTTATGAAACATAACATAACTGTCTATCACTACTTGAAACTGGTTTTGAATTGGTAACAAAAAAATATTATATTACAATTTTTCTCTAAATAATTATTTTATAATAATTGTTTAAGTTATGAAACTAGTGATGTTTAAATGGAAGAAAATTTTACTCAGTTCAATTAAAGAAATTTTTTGATTTTTTGATGTGATGTTTGTAACTTGTATTGGGCTGCGTATGTGAGTTATGGGTGTTACACCTTATATCTTACATAAGATTTTAAGAATAGTTGGGAACCTCAATGAGAGATTTAGGATAGTTTAATGATCAAATTTTGTGCCTTACTAAGGCATTTCTGGGAAAGAGTATCGATACTAAAGGAACTGTATCAATATTATTCTTCAGATGCAAGAATAAAAGGTTTTGGGGGTAGAAGTATCGATATTATTTCAATGAGTATCGGTATTGTGGGTTGGGTCTCAATACTCGTAAGATAATATCATAATGAGATCACTTAACACATTCCAATACACAATTTTGGTACCGATACCCACAAGAGTATCGATACCGATATCGGTACTCTCCATAGGGGTATTGGTACTCAACTATGTTTCCAAAACATCGAAGCAAAAATTGGTATCGATACTTAATCTAGTATCGATACCCTAGCTTGAGAGAATTGATATTGTCCAACATTATCGATACCATCCCTTAACCTAAGCTCATTTTAACCCGACAGTATCGATACTCAAGAATAAGTATCGATACCCATATATATTTTTTGGCAAGAAGCCTGAGAGATTTAGGAAGGGTAATTGAGGGACCCAAGAATACTATAATATCCTCGAGTAAGACTTCAAGTGAGAACCCTTATTAATGTCTAATTACAACTAGAAACACCATTAATTAGGACAACATAAAACTAGCATTGGTTGACGCTCGGGAAATGGCAAGGACACCCGAGTTACTCTAGTCGATGATGATAGTATCGCAGTATAAACTGTCTAGATATCCTTAGGTAGTGCGCAAGGAACTTAAGACTAACCATGGCACAATGTCTCAACACTCACATTGTTCAGATATTCGACGTAGTAATTCTGGATCCTCACCCTAGGTAGACTAGAGGGGTGCGTGAGCTCCGAGATGCAGTAATCCCTCAATCGTACCATGACGTCTACCCTAGAGTAGCGTGAGTATACAAGCATACTCACTTTACTTATTGCACTTGATAGTATGAGCATCGATAAACACTCTTAGTATGATTTTATCATTAGTGTGGCACTGAGCTAGTATGCTCAACGTTTAGAATTTTGTTCTGTTCGCATGTATCAAGATGAGAACTTGAGGAGCTAGTTGCTTTGCAAATGCTCCAAACCACCGAGCAGTTAAAGTAAATCTTGAGTCTTACTCATTTAGAGGGCATGTATTATTCATAGACCTTCATATATTCAAGTCGTAACTTATTTGACAATCGTTTGTATTATTTTGAGATACATATTTTGGGAGCTACCCCTTACTACAAACATGTATTAATTTTATTTTTCTTTATAAATTTTAAATAAGAAATTTTTCGTTGGTTGCTCTAGTGGTCTCGTGTGACATTCTAATCGGTCGAATGAATGTCATATCAGATTAGGCTGTTGCATCTAGTGATATCAGAGCGCCAGGTTAAGTCAGTTTCTAGGACTCATGGGTTAGAGTTAGTAAGAGTCTAGAAGTATACATACCTCTAATGAGTTGAAAGTACCTTTATGTATAAAATAGCTATAATGACTACTCGTCTTGTCTTAATTTTCAAAGTTTATCCATGAGCGACGACACTAATCCTAGCCACAAGGGTAAAGTATATAGTGTAGCTTCCTTGGCGGGTGATTCTGGGGAAGTGTTTTCCCTAGATACTAAGCTTGAGGATCAGGGGGACGTTCGGGTCGATGAGGTAACCTTTTTTTGAGACTTGACCTCGACCCTCAGGAAGATCATGCCCATACATAGGATTCTAATTGTACCACCTGCTACACCTGTACTGCCAAATCTCAGTCGAGAGACTCCGTAGGTACCGAACAATAGATTTTTATAGATTTTGGAGATGATGACCCTATAGCTACAGATTAGTGGCTGAAAAAGACCATCCATATGCTTAGGCAGATACATCTTACCCCTGAGGGTAACCTAGAGTACATCACCTCCTTGCTAAAGGGTGATGCCATAGACTGGTGGGAGACCATCGAGCTGGATATAGAGCCTGAGAAGCCTATGTGGGATATATTCTTATCCGATTTCAGGCAAAAGTACATTAGGGAGGCCTATACTGACGATATAAGAGACCAGTTCCTCCATATGACTCAAGAGGACCATTTGATGATGGAGTATGAGAGGGAGTCCCTTTGATTGAGTCGATATGCTCTGGAATTAGTAGCATCAGAGTATCACCGCTAAATTGGTTTAAGGAGGGCCTCCACCTTGACATTCTTACTCACCTAGTTCTTGACCCATTTTGGGTCTTCTTCGAGTTGACTCGTTAGACATAAGTGCTCGATAGTGATTTAGGGATGAGATCCAGAGCTTTAGTTGTCACTACAATACAAATTTAGAGGATGGATGAGTCTTTGCAACCTACACAGGCACCGACCAAGAGGGTTAAGAATTCGTAGGGATCGTAGAGGACCCTAGAGACCGACTTAAAGCACGGACCGTAGATCTGTGGCTAGTGCCAGTAGATCTGTGGGGACACCATATCCAACTTGTCAGACTTGTGAGAAGAGGCACACTGAGACGTGCCACGTTAGGACTCGAGGGTACTTCATTTGTGGCTCACTAGACCATTTCATTTAGGATTACCCAGGGGCACAGAGTGGGGCCTCGATACTAACTCAGAGACCCTTACAGTCAGTACTGAGAAGCCGAGGGCCTTTGAAAGGTGGTAGTTTTACTTCCGGTCAGTACAGTAAAGGTGCTACTAGATTCGTTTCAGGTTCGTTTCGTCACGTAGCCTCCCGTTAATATGTCATCCGAGCCTAGGAAGAGTGTGAACTCATTGATGTGATTTCATGTACTTTCACTATGTTTTCTATTCCGGTTATGGCACTAGTAGACCCAGGATCCACCCACTCTTATATATGTTATGACTTAGTTTGAGAAAGAAACCTAGCAGTCGAGGACTTAGAGATAGGAGTTCTAGTCCCCTAGGGTTGGACGTCTTAGTTGAAAAGATCCACTGCCAATGCTTAGTGGAAATTTAAGGTGGAATTTTGCCAAACGATCTAATTTAGTTTCCATTCTTAGAATTTGACTTGATATTGGGTATAGATTGGCTTTCGGATCATGACACCAGTTTGAGGTGCAAGGCCAGACAACTTAAAATAAGAAAGGTTAATGGAATCAAAGTTGTAATTATTAACGAGAAGCCAAGGAGCATATGGATTGTTTCAGTTATAAAGGCACAAAAGATGATAGATAGAAGTTGTGAAACTTTCTTGGCTCATATAATCAACACCCAAGTCGTTGTTCTGAGTCTAGAGGTTATCTGAACTATACGTGATTTCCCAAATGTGTTTCTAGAGGAATTGTCAGGTTACCTCCTGATCGAGAATTAGAGTTCGGCATTGAATTTTTTTTGGGTTTTTCTTCGGTGTCCATTGCTCCTTACCGCATGGTGCCAATAAAGCTAAAGAAGTTGAAAACTCAAATTCAAGAATTTTTGAAGAAGGTTTCGTTCGCCCAAGCATTTCCCCTTGGAGAGCACTGGTCCTCTTTGTCAAAAAAAGAACAGATTGATAAGGTTATGCATCGACTACTGTCAATTAAAGAAGTTAACCATTAAGAACCGATATCCCCTTCCAAGAATCGATGACCACTTTGATCAACTCAATGGAGCGTGCGTATTCTCCAAGATAGACTTGAGATCAGGATACTACCAGTTGAAAGACAAGAATGTTGACATAGCCAAGACATCATTTAAAATTAGGTATGGTTACTATGAGTTCCTCGTAATGTCGTTTGGACTCACCAATGCTTTGGAGACATTCATGGACTTAATGAATAGATTTTTCCACCTGTACTTGGACCAGTTCGTAGTGGTCTTCATAGATGACATCCTAGTGCATTACGATCCGAGGAAGAACATGATCAACACCTCTGTATAGTTCTGCAGACCCTTCAGGAGCGACAATTGTTTGCCAAGTTTGGGAAGTGCAAGTTTTGGTTATCCAAGGTTGCATTTTTTGGGCATGTAGTTGTAGCAGATTGTATTCGGGTTAATCCTTAGAAGATTCAAGTTGTATTAGAGTGAGAACCTCTGAGGAATGTGACCGAAGTGTGCAGTTTCTTGGGCCTTATCGGGTATTACCATTTATGAAAGGTTTTTCGATGATTGCTGCTTCGATGACTAAAATACTTCAAAAAAGAGTTACATTCGCATGGGAAAAAAGCCATGTTTTGAGTAGTTGAAGACTATATTAACCCAAGCTCTCGTCTTAACCTAGCCAGAGTCGGGAAATGATTTCACCATTTTTATTGATGATTCGCTAAATAGACATGGTTACGTTTTGATGCAAAAAGGGAAAGTGGTGGCATACGTATACTGTTAAATCAAGTCTCATTATCGAAACTACCCCACCCACGATTTAGATCTTGCGACAATAGTCTTCGCTATAAAGATATAGAGACACTATCTTTTTTGGTGAAAAGTGTCACAACTTCACCGATCACAAAAGCCTCAAGTATCAGATGACGCAAAAAGAGTTGAATTTGAGACAGCTTATATGGGTTGAGTTGTTGAAAAACTATAATTGTGTGATTGATTACCACCCAGGGAAGGCAAATGTAGTTGTCGACGCGTTGAGCAGAAAGCCGATGTCAAAATTGAGGGTGTTGTTAGCATGCCTGAGATTATCTAAGGATGATGGGTTATTAGCCAAGTTACGAGTAGAACCTGAGTTTGTGAGCGAGTTTAAAAGATTACAGATCTCTGATAGCCATCTAAGGGATCATGTGGGGTAAGTTCACAGAGTCAAGGCCACGAGATTTGAATTACGAAAGGGAAATGTACTTTTCTTTAGGGGTTGGTTATCTGTTCCTAATGATGTGCAGTTGCATAGTAAGATACTCTATGATTCCCATTGTAGTCCCCTCTCAATATATCTGGGTAGTAATAAGATGTACCAAGAACTTCAGTCGTTGTATTGGTGGCCGGGGATGCAGAGAAAAGTACCTGAATTAGTTGCTAAGTGTTTAGTATGCCAGCAAGTCAAAGCGGAGTACTAGGTTCTTTCAGGGTTGCTTCAGCCGATTCAAATTTCACAGTGGAAATAGGACAGAGTGACTATCAATTTTTCATGGAATTACTGGTGACTAGACAAAGGCACAATGTTGTGTGGGTTATAGTTGACCGATTAACCAAATCAGTTCATTTCCTTTCAATTTCAGATGGATTTCACTTTAGTGAGGTTGACTCAACTCTACATCCGTGAGATAGTGAGATTGCATGGAGTTTCAACTTTGATCATATTCGATAGAGACCCGTTTCACTTTCCGATTTTATAAAGTTCTCTACGAAGCCTCAGGTACCAAACTCCACTTTAGTACCCATTCTATCCTCAGATGGACATACTGTCATAATGTGTTATTAAGATCCTATAGGACATGCTTAGGTTCACTATCATAGACCTTGAGGGTAGTTGGGAGGACCACTTGCCACTAGTAACGTTTACCTACAATAATAGTTACCAGTCTTGTATCCAGATGGCTCCATATGAGGCTTTCTATGGATGCAAATGTAGAACTCTTCTTTGTTAGACCAAGCTCAATGGCGGGAAGATGTATCCAGATTTGATTAAAGAAACTGAAGAAAATGTTTGGTTAATTTAGAGTCTATTGAAGGAAGCATCTGATAGGCGAAGGCCGTATACGAACTTGAAACATAGGATATTAAATTTACCATAGGAGACAAGGTGTTTCTCAAGGTGTCTGTGTAGAAGAAAGTACTTCGGTTTGGACGCAAGAGGAAGTTGACCACGCGCTTCATAAGATCGTATAAGGTACTTGAGAGAGTTGAACCTGCATCTTATCTTTTGGCTTTACCCTTGGAGTTGGAGCGCATTCACAACGTGTTTCATGTATACATGCTTAGAAGGCATCGTTCCTATCATTCTCACATTATACCCTTAGAGAAGATCGAGGTAAGTCAAGATATCACTTATGATGAAGAGTCGATAAGAGTCTTGGCACGAAAAGTAAATGAGTTAAGGAACAAGAGAATTCCTCTAGTAAAATTTCTATGGAGGAAATATGGAGTCGGTGGGGCAACTTGAGAAAACGAGGATATGTAGCAGCAGTATCCGTATCTATTCTATTAAGGTCAATTTTGAAGATAATTTCTTATTAGAAGGGGAGAGTTGTAACACTTCAAATATTAGGTTAGGAGTTTCAGGTCAATCCGAGAGATGTCGAATAAACCCATTAGCCTTAAGAAAGTCTTGGTCCAAGAGTTAAAAAGGTTTGGGCTTGAGTTTGGCCCATTATGTGATAAAGAGGGTGTTTTCAATCATAACATGGAAGTAGGAGGACTAAAAGAGATATTAGATCAAATTTCAAAACAAAAGATAAAATCTTTAATTTTGGGATGATCTCACGTCCTGCACCCTTCTCTTTTTCTTCATCACCTTTGTCTTATTCTTCTCCTAAAAACCTTCATCTTCTTCCTTAGGAAGCTAGAACAAAGTTGGAACTTTTAGTCTTGCAAGCCTAGTTCAAGAATTCCAAGGTAAGAAATGAAACCCACACCTCAAGAGCTTTAATTTAAGCCCCCAAACATAAGGTTTGAATCTTTATAGCCATAAATGGGCTTTAGTGGGGGATTTAGTAAATAAAACGTTCCCAACTCATCTTTTGTGGATTTAATTTATAGAAAGTGTCTTTAAGTTAAATACAAGCTTCTAAATGAGTTAGTAAGTCACTTGTCTTTGATTGAAGAAATAGGTGGGAGAATGCTCCAAGGCTAGAGGGAATGAGAAATTGCTCATTGGGTGATTTAAAAGAGTTTTCAGCAACTAGAAAACTAAGGTAACATATTTACAACTCTTTCCTACCATTTGTGAATCATTAGGATGTATCTAGCTAGAAAGTTTGAGTTTTTGAGCATGAATGAGCTTCTATGGTAAATTTCACAAAATTCATGTTATTAGCATATTTAAAGACCTTTTATTACGCCTTATATCTCCCATAATATTTTAAGAACAATTAGGAACCTTAATGGGACATTTAGGATAGTTTAATAAGCAAATTTCGTGCCTTACTAAGGTATTTCTATGCACAAGTATCAGTATTAGAGGAACAGTACCAATATCGTTCTTCAAAAGCAAGAACAAAGGGATTTTAGGGGCAGAATCATCAATAATCTTTCAATTAGTATTGATATTGTGGGATGGATCTCGATACTCATAGGGTAGTATCAATACATTGATCACTTAGCACATTCCAGTGTATAATTTTGGTACCGATACCCACGAGAGTATCGGTACTGGTACTTGTACTCTCTATGGGGGTATCAGTACTCAACTATTTTTACAAAACATCGAAGCAAAAATTGGTATCTATACTTTATACATGCATCACAAGACTCACATCAAAGGAAGAAGTAATAACTCTTCCAAATGATCCACTCGTCCAAGCATTGGAAGAGAAGATCAGAACAGAAGCAGACTTGATACAACTTTTTGAATGGGATCCTGATCTTATTTGGTCAATATGTCTTCTGGATATACGACCGTCTGTCTCTTATCTTTCCAAAGGTTCTTGAATCGCATCAATCCGATATCGGGAACTAAGATATGACCATTTTATAAAAGACGGTGCATGCAGGAAATCCTATACGAGATTAATATGTGATTTTGTAAATATTACGAATTTTCAATAATTATATTGATTATTTGTAATATAATTTAATATAGGATGAAGAATTATCTTTTAGGATCAGACTTATTATTTTATTAGGAATTAAAGTTGGGTTAAAATAATATTTTTAGTTATTATTATTTTATTAGGAATTAGAGTTAAGACATGTTTAGTTTATTATTATTTTATTCTTTAGTTATTTAGGACCTTTAGAACTCAGCCCCTATATAAAGGAGGGTTCATTTAACTTTGTAAATCAAGATTTCTTTGATTAATAATACAACGAGAGTTTGTTTTTGCAAGTGTTGATTGCCTTGTGCCTTCGAAGCTTCTTCTCCTTGAGTTCTTTCAAGTTCTTGTGAGGGAGATTAATCTTCACACTCTAATTTTCCTTTTCATCGTGACTAGGAGGGTTGGTTAGAGCTAAATTATCGTGTTTGCCTTTTCATTGCGACTTGGAGGGCTCGATAGGACACTTATCCATCTATTTTCCACAAATCCATCAACACCATCAATCATCTTTACCGTTCACCTTCATAAGGAAGATCTTTTGATTTCTTGGTTATCTTACTTTATTTTCAATTTCTTTATCTTATTCTAATCTTGTTTCTTACCTTATTTCCAGCACTTAAAATAAACTCTAAAAGACCCTAGTTGCTGCCACCACCTTCCCCTATTCATCCCCCTTTGTTCTCCATCGAGTCTAGAGCTTTCTAGGTTTGATTATTCAACAAGAGCAACGTTTATTAACCCGCCACCGCTTCCTTATCAATTGGTATCAGAGTTGGGCCGATTCTTGGAAAGAAGCAAGCAATCTTGCACACAAAACCGTCAAGGTATCCCAACGGAGCTAGTTCATAGAAGATTCATCGTTTCAGGTTCTTTTTATTTAATTTTAATTTAGATTCAAATCCTTCTTGTTAGTTTGCTATTTTAAAAAAAAAAACAAAAAAAAAAACAAAAAAGCCAAAATTTCAAAAAAAATTCAAACGAATGTATTTAGGGCTTATTTTCTCCAGATATCATATTCATCCTAATATAAATCTCCAGTCCAAAATTCAATCAAATCGGAGTTCATTAGAGCCTTCAAATACATTCTTCAAGTTTCATCGGCAGATTCGGTCTAGGATCTTGTCGAATTTCTTCAAAATTATACAGGAGGAGTTTCGTGGTGCAAATTTTCAGATTGAAACTTCATATATTGAAGATCATTTACACAAAAAATTAGAATTTTTTGGAGATCAAGAACACTTTCGAACAAAGTGATAACAAAAATAGATTGTTTGAGGACTCACCGTTCAATAGAGTCTACTGGATACTACTGAAGGTAATTGGTTCTGAAATTTTACAGGTGATTTCTTGACGCATCGAAAGACATTCAAGAATTTTTCCAAAATTTTCGGAAACCGGTAACACCCTAAAAACGTTGCTCAAGTTGATCCAGCGTTTTCCAGGTTTCTGGGTTGGTTCTTTTTTTTCTGACTCTTAGTGCTTTAGGTTCTTTTATTTTTCCTTTTTATTGTTCTTTTGCATTATCTAACACATTATCTTTCTTTTGTTAGTAGGACTAAAGAGTTTGCATACTTCTTCCTTCTTTGCATTCTCGTTCTCTTGGAGTCTAACCCTTGTTTGGCCTCTTAGAGCTTTTAGGTATTTCTTATCGCCTTTGCTAGTAATCAAACTTCGATACGACATGTGGAAGACTACTTGGTAAAGTGAGTTTTAAAGAGTACAAGATCGGCTTACTTGCCTCTCGTTGTGTTACTTTCTTGGAGTGACTTGTGAGGTTTCTTGCTTTGTTGAATTTTCTTTTTTTTATTTTTTATTTTACTTTAAAATTTTCTTTCAAGTATTATGATTTCAGGATGGGCGACAATAACAACAAGACACTTACGACTATCTTAGCCACACTTGCACTACTTACGACTCAAGTTGAAAGATTTGATGAACTTACCAATACCGTGAGAGAACAACAAGAACCACAACTAGATCTATCAAACCAGAATCCAAGAACAAACAATGCTGAACTTTCAGTACCCAGGCGAGAACAACCACGTTACCAAGCACCCAAACTTTTTGCAAAACCAAAGTTTATGATCCTGTC